GATCTCTTTAAGCTCAAAGTCATCCACAAAGCTGTTAAACTTCCTCTTGCTTTTTGTCACCCTCTGGTTAACCTTATTGGATTCCTCCGAGAATCTAATCACATTGAAGTCCCCACCCATGCACCAGGGCCCATCCCACAACCCTCTAACATCCGCCAATTCCTCCCACAACTCCTTTATCTTTCTGTAGTCATTCAGTCCGTAAACATTTGTGAGAACCCACTCCTTTCTCTTTTTCCCTTCCCCTCAACCTTCTCTATTTTAAATATTTTTCAAATCGGACTAGTGAACTTATCGTTGGGGAATTGGTTTCGGGAGGAGAAGTCTACAATTATTTTTAATTCTAAAAAAAACAAAAATTAATTTAATTGCACTTATCCGGATGGTTGGATTATCAATTCAGAATCTTATCTTGATTTCAATAGTTGAAGCCTATCAAAGCCTCCTAAATGGCTAAATTGTTAACTGCTTAACTACCCAAGTGTATGACAGTATGAGACTGTATGTGAATTGAGATGAGAGACTGAGAGAGTACGAGAATTGAGAAGAGAATTGCTGAATTGGTGTGATGAGAATGGTGGATTGGTGTGGAGGTTAGGGTTATTTATAGGAATAGAAAATAATTCAATTGCCCAAAATATCCTAAAAAATAGCCGTTTTTTAGTTATTGGGAGGGGTATTTTGGTCATTATAAAGTCATTTACCACTTTACCTAAATACCCCCCTAAATTAACTATTATATTGTTGGGGGGCATTATTGTTATTTTATCTCCCCCAAGTCTCCAAAGCCAAAATACATAAATACCCCCTATATAGCTGTTTATAGCTATTGGGGGGGGGTATTTCTATAACATAGTTGTCAAGGCGATGCCTAGGTGCCCGCCTAGGCGACAAGGCACCCTTTGAAGCTTGCCTCGTCTAATCGCCAAGCTGTTTTCTACTTCCTACTATAAAATACTTTTTTATTCATTCTTTTTTGAGATTATAATTATAAAATAGACATTTTTGAACTAAAATAATCATTTTGTGTGTTTATATACTAATTTCTTTTTATTATTTTATTATTTATTGGGGTTTAATCAACACAAACATTGCTAAATGCTGTATTGAACCCTCAAAGACTTAAAAACCTTAACCAATAATAGGATCTATTTTTTTAACATAAAAAAATCCATCGCCTAGGTGACTAGGCGACAAGGCGCCCCCAGATGCCTAGTCTCACCTTGGCGGCTTGAAAACTATGTTCTGTAAAAAGCCCCCTTGAAAGTTGAAACTAGCCATTGGGGGGGGGTCTCTGAGACTCCAACCGTCCAATGACTAGTTCTTCGGGTGGGCCATGCTCGGTCCGCTGTGGGTTGGGTCGTGCCGTGCTAGCCTGGCCCATGGACTTGAAACCCCAAGCCCGGCATGACCCATACAATCATGCTGTGCCCTGGCACGACCTGTGAACCATCGTGCCGAGTCGGGCCGCGGGTGACACAGTGATTTAAAAGGCGCACAAGCGAGGTGAATTGTAGGGTAGGTGCCTTGCCTAGGTCCTAGGCGTAGCCCTTTTAAAGTCCATGTTAGGGTCCTAAATTCTTAGTTCTCACACAAAAATAATGATTTTATAATTTTAATTGCTTTTTAAGAAGATACTTTAGTAGAATTAATGAATGAAAATTACCAGATATTTTAGTAATGAACAACATTACTAAAATATCTTCTTAAAAAGCAATTAAAATTATAAAATCATCATTTTTTGTGAGAACTAAGAATTTAGGACCCTAACATGGACTTGTTTGGGTTTTCCTCGAGGGGCATGGCACAAAGGTGGCTCGTAGAATCAGGAATGTAATATGTTTTACATCACATTAGTTACTTTAAGTAATGCAATTGAGGAAAAAAATAGATTGTGGGTTTTACATGCTTGAAATTTTTTTTATATGTTTGATTTTATTTTTAAATTCTCATTTGAATTTGCTTTGCATGTTATGTTTATGTATTTTAATTTTAGATAATAGGTTTTTTAAAATATTTATTTTAAAATTTTAGTTTATATTTTTTATAATATTATGTTTAATGTTTTTTGTTTTTTTTGATTTTTTTTTGATTTTTTTTTGATTTTTCTGACATTTTGTTGATTTTTTAGCATTTTAAAAAAAATTTTGCCCTTGCTTCAAGAAGGCACACGCCTTGCCTTGCGCCTTGTGTCTTGGGCGCAAATTGACCACTGCACCTTTTTTGCGCGTTGCGCTTCTAAAACACTGATCAGAACAGTATTGGAGATATTAGAAAAAGGGATTTCTGGAAGATTTCGTATCACTACCTAGCCTGGAAGATTCATGGCATCCTCCTGATCTGGGCATTCTTAAACTGTACTTTGATGGAAGCAGTCTTGGTAACCCGGGTCCTTCTGGTATAGGAGGGGTATTAAGAAATAAAAAAAAGGGAAGTGTTGGGAACAGGCCCTTGTGGACAGGGTGGCTCTATTACAGCAGAATTGACAGCAGCAGTGTTTGGATTGCAAAAGGCAATGGAGATGGGTGTGAGAAAGTTGGTTATTGAAGGAGATTCTAAAGTAGTTGTCAGCTGGCTGAGACACAATGAACAAGTCCCTTGGAATTTCAGTGGATCCCAAGAACGGCTAACAATTTAGCGGATCAACTAGCAAAACAGGGGTTCAAAAGGGAAATCTGCTTCTGGTCTCAGTGGTAACTGTAAAAACAAAGTGTTATTGGGATCGCAGACTTTTATTTGCTGGGGTAACCGAGGCAACCCTTGATGTACCTGCATACTTTTATATTAGTTAATAAAATGTTCTGTTACTGATAAAAAACCATGTTTATTCCACGAATTTCCAGTGTTGAATTTATATACTTTGGAATACTTCTACCTTTTTAAGGTTCTTGGATGTTATATACCTTTTTTTTCTCATTGAACCACATATTTTTATGCCATGTTATACAAATTGACTTGCTTTTTAAATTTGTATAGGGATCAGGAAATTCCTCGTGTAAACCAGTCACTAAGAATTCTTTCAAACTTAGTTGCAGCTGGAGCACTTCATTCTAATGTGGTGGTTGATGATATTGTATCTGAACTCCTTGGATTCACTGCTATTGTAGTTGGCATGAAAACTGCTGATGGTAATGACTTAGCGGCAAAGGTATTATACTCTAGGCCTTCATGAAGTTTCTAGCATTTGATCGTCTTTTATTTGTATGTGAAGTAGTGAGAAGAAGACTTTGTACCAAACTGATGTACCATCTTTAGATGATCATGGTAGTAAATTAGAATGTTAGAATCTTATTACACAGGTATGTAAAGGATACAACTAGATAAGGTGTCAGATATACTATTTGCACTAAAAAGCTTAAATATCTGATGCAATACATGATATATATACTGGTATTTAGGTATTATAAATTGGGGTATGGAGAGAGATTTAGGGAACAAAAGAGCTAGTGAGCTGAGTCACACAACTTTGGAAGTTGAACCGAGTCTTTGGCATATTGCCTAAGAATATTTTGAGATTGGAATTATACTAATGATGGGTATGGGCTTTGAGTTTGATTGGCACCTTGGGTTGGATCTTGGATAGAGTTAGTTGCCCAAGTCAGATTGGTTGCTTTTATAGAAACTAGTTTGGAAGTCTAAGGCCTTCTTTGTCAGGAATAAAAGTTCTAGTATGCTCATGCATTGGTAATTTGTTTGTGGAAATCATGTCTGGAGCTTTCCTATATCCCTTATGATTGGTGTGCCAATAGAGATTTTTATGCCTTGTAAAAGCATTCAGTTCTTCTGAAACTAGTATGACATTTTGATGCTGTGTGGTGGCTGAAGTCCTAAAGTTCTGACATATGCAGAGTCTATCAATTTTAAAGAAATTAGTGGATATTATTGGAGTTAATGTCGGGAAATCCTATTATAGGCATTGGGTTTCCTTAATGGAGCTTTACTCACAGGTATAACTCTTGCCATGGTATTGATTAGACTATGAATTTTCGACAATTTCTGCATCATGAACATTCTCATTCTAATAAATTGTAGGTTATAAACAACAAGGACGATTCGTTTGCAAGAATTTTGTATGAGTCAACTGCTTGCATTGCAATCATGTTATCTAGGGTTTCTCAGGGACTCAGAAATTCTGTGTCAGCTGCAGTTCCTGAGACGGCTTCTGTTCCTTCACCATTGGATGACTCTTCAAAACAAATTTTAGATCACATTAAGACATCTGGTGTGGTGGATTTGTTGTTCGTGTGCCTAATGACTTCAGGTTCAAGTCTCATGTCTGGTTCTTCACAAATGCTGCGTTCTGCCTGTGAAGCATGCAAGGCTATGTGGGCTTTGGTAGATGCATTGGAAATTCTATCCTTGAAACAACATGCCTATTTGTTTCCTTTAGACTCTATTAGGAGCCATTCATTGCATCGACTTGACATCAGAGAGCATGACCAAGGTTCTTTTTTTGGGGTTGATTTGGAAAAAGTTATTGATGCAGTGACAAGAGCTTTCCTTAAATCAAAAGCTATGCAGGTTGCTATTTACTATTCCCTTCACCAACGTCTGGAGTCAGCTGTTTCTTCTGCCATTCAGGTGTTATTTTCTCTCTTATCCTTGACCAGCGCAGTCTGTATTTGTATGTGCTTATTTTGATTACTAATGATTTTTGCATGTTCCTATATGGATTACATGTGTATGCAACTTTCTTTTTCTGTTCACTGTCTAGGCTCTTATAATATTAGCAGTTGGTTGGGTATGCGCCAATTTAATAATTATACATATATGGGAATTTTTTTGGTGTGGTGTTCTTCTACCCCTTCCCTCCTTTTCTTGGCTTTATTACTGATCAAGGATTTTGAAAGATGTATGCATAATCACTAATTTTATACATAAACCATTTTGAAAAAGTATTGTGTTCTGTCATTGTACTGTTTTTCTTTTTTAGCCTTCTAACATGACTATGCGTTTCATGCCTTTAACTGGGTAACAAGTATTTGAACACTCACTGTACTAATCCATCTTGCAATTCTTTCCCATTGTGGGCTTTTGTACAGTGCCTTATGCTAGTTTTTTATTTTCTTCTTTATTTTCAAAGTGAATTATTTTCGGGCTATGAATGATATCTGTTTATATGAATTTGAATACAATCCTGTTAAGGGTGATTCTAATTCAATCCATTTATAATTCTATTGAATATGAATCCATCCCTATCTTATCTGATATTATATATGTTTAAATATATAATGTTTGGGTAAATATGAATCCATCCCTATCTACTATACATAGTGTGTGTCTAACCAGTGTTTTATGAGAAGATAAAACATATTGAAGTGGACAGTCATTTTATCTAGGAGAAGGTGCAGTGTAATGATGTTGATGTTCCATTTGTCATATCAGAAAAACAACTGGCAGATATGTTCGGCAAGGCATTTAATAGACCATGGTTTGATTTTGTTGTGTCCAAGCTGGTCTATACAACATATATACACCATCTTGAGGGGAGGAGTGTAGAGAGTTACTGATATAATGTTTAATGGAAGAGTAGTTCAGGCTTTGTGCAAAAATTGCTAAAATAGGACTATAAGTAGGGGTAAGATGGGGAGTTCCATTTTATTATTAAAAAGTGCAAAAACTGTAATTTTTGTTTTTGTGTATAATATTTATCTTCACGTTTGGAGCTTTTTATGCTTTTACAAGGCATGAAAGTTAATTATTAATTCATATTAGCTATGGTTTAATTAATCACATGTTAAATTGATTTGTATTATTAATTCGTATTTTGCTTAAAAACGAAAGAAAAATTATTACTCTTGATCGACATCGTAGATTATCTCACATTGTGTATTCGAGATTCATAGAATTAAAAAAAGGGTGTGGCCTAAACCACACCACACCCTATAGAAGGAAATTCAACTTTATTACAAGGGATAAAGTAACAGGGCTCCAAACACCAGAATGAGCAATATGAAAAAGAAATTCAGCTTTATTACTCTTTGAAGGGAAATGATTTCTACAATGTTTGCTCAATTGACAAGTTTGACATTTCAGTTCAGACATAGACACTGACATAAACAAATCTGGAAACAAAATTTTCATTGACTCAAAAAACAAATGGCCAAGACGATTATGCCATAATTGAATCTGACTCTTACTAAACTTACTCATAAGACTATAGTTGCAAGACCCTGACTTTGTGGCTTCGAAAATAGCTTTGCTCTCCAACACATAGAGACCATCAACCATACTCTCTTTACCTATCGTCTCCCCCGAGGTCAAATCCTATATAACATAAGAGGAAGGAAAGGAGGTTATTGAACAATTAAATGAATTTGTAATGCTACTAATGGAAAACAAGTTTATGGGAAGTTTTGGTACATGCAGTACATTTGAAAGATTAAGGCCGAATCGTGAATGGGAGAGAAATGGTTCCTTGACCAGCTACGGTGGAGAATGAGCCATCAGCAAGTCTTACCTTACCTCTCCTAGAAAGAAGACTATAGGATTGAAATAAATTGGACTTACCCATCATATAGTTCGATGCACTAGGGTCTATTATCTAGGGAGACTCTGAAGTAAGAGAGGATACATGGAAGTTATTAGTATTTGGCCTGCCCTTGAATCCTGTTAGACTGATGACAGTTGAAGTAAAAGAAAGAGAGAAAGAGAGAGAAGAAGAGAAGAGAAGAGAGGGAGAAAGTTCTGGTTTGAATAAGAGAGAAAAGTCTTCTCTCTCATTAGGCTATATTTGTTTTTATATCACTATTAATCTAGAAATGACACATGTGCCCCTACTTAAATGAGGGACATAAGATCTAACATAACCTTACACATCAGCAACTTAAACATAAGCATAAAGACAAAAATACCCCTACATAGTTGACATTAACACTCCCCTCAAGCTGGTGAGTATATATCATATAATCCCAACTTGTTACTTATGTAGTCCACTCTTCCCCGACTCAACCCTTTAGTAAACAAGTCTGCCCACTGGTTTCTTGTGTTAACATATGCAGTATCTATCACTCCACTGAGCACCTTCTCTCTCACAAAGTGACAGTCAACGATCAACCTCTATGTGCTTGGTTCTCTTATGAAACACCAGATTAGAGGAAATATGGACTGTAGCCTGATTGTCACAATAGAGCTTCATTGGAGTGTCAATAGTGTATCCCATCTCTTGTAGAAGGTTCTTTAGCCACACTAATTCACAAGTAGTATTTGCCATAGCTCTATATTCTACTTTTGCACTGCTTCTTGCCACAATTGTCTGCTTCTTAATTTTCCATGTCACCAGATTACCGCCAAGAAAAGTACAATAGCCTGTAGTAGATCTCCTATCAGATATAGAATCGACCCAATCAACATCAGTATATCCTTCTACTTCAAGTTTTCCACTTCTTTATATCAAACCATGACCAAGAGCCCCTTTAAATACCTCACAATCCTTAGAACTACATCCCAATATGGAACCCGAGGTTTTTGCATGAACTGACTTACCGCATAACCGCAAATGAAATGTTTGGCCGAGTAATGGTTAGGTAGTTCAGTTTACCTACAAGCTGTCGGTATCTATCAGGGTCTTCAAACTCTTCACCCATATCACTGCTCAACTTAGTGTTTGTTTCCATAGGTGTTTCAGCTGGTTTAGCACCTAACAAACCTGTTTCTTCTAGCAAATCAAGGACATATTTCCTCTTACACAAGTTAATACCATGTTTAGACCTTGCTACTTCTATCCCCAAGGAATATTTTAATTTACCAAGGTCCTTTGTCTGAAAATGTTCCTGTAAAAAAGTTTTCAACCTCTCAATTCCCACTTTATCATTCCCGGTAATAACAATATCATCTACGTACACCACCAATAGGATCTTTCTAGCCTGAGAGTCATGACTGAAGACTGAATGGTCAACTTGGCACTGTTTCATGCTAAACTTCTTTACCACCTCAATGAACCTACCAAACCATGCTTGAGGAGACTGTTTAAGCCCTTAAATGGCTTTCTTTAGTCGGCACGCCTTACCATCCTCCCCCTGAGCAACAAACCCCGGTGGTTGCTCCATATAGACCTCCTGCTGGATCAAGATCAGATACTGGGGTTGGGGCTGGTGTGGGGATGGGAAGCAGAAAGGTGAGTGAGTGAAACATGATTAGAAATAGGATGAAGGGTACAATTGCGTTTACCTTTCCGCAAGGCAATGGGAAGATCAAGATCAGATACTGGGGTTGGGGCTGGTGTGAGGACAACTGCTGGATCTGTCGACGATGATGGAGCTAGAGGAGGAGCCGGTACATGTTGGCGATGTGTATACACTAGACGAATAGGTGTCCGTTCAACAGGTGGTGGCACTGGAGGCATGGACTTGGTCACAACTGGAACAAAAGCAACTGAATCCGCAACCGGACCCCAAGAAAAGCGGAGTAGACTCAAAGAAAGTAACATCAACACACACAAAGGAACGTTGGGAGCTAGGATGATAACACTTATACCCTTTCTTAGTCTAGGAATAGCCAAGGAAGATGCACTTAATGGATCGTGCATCTAACTTGTCCCTTCTTGGCCCCAGATTATGAACGAAGCAGACACACCCAAAAACCCGAGGAGAAAGAGGAAATAGAGACAAGGTGGGAAACAAAGTGGTGAATGGAGAATGACCATCAAGGATAGATGTGAGCATCCAGTTAATCAGGTAGCAAGAAGTAAGCACAATATCACTCCAGAAAGGTTTGGGTACATTCATTTGGTGCATGAGAGATCGAGCAGTTACCAAAAGATGGCGATTCTTTCCCTCAGCCACCCCATTTTGGGTGTAGGTACATGAAGTCTGATGGATAATGCCATGTTGGTCCAAATATTATTGAAATGATGTAGAGAAATATTCACGACCATTATCGGAAAGAAAAATTTTAATGTAGACACCAAATTGGTTGCGAATTTCAGTATAAACTTTTTGGAAAATGGCAAACAATTAACTCCTTTCTTTCATGAAATAAAGCCACATCATCCTTGAATAATCATCAACAAAAATGACAAAATATTTATATCCATTGTATGACATTACTTTATAAGGACCCCAAACATCTGAATGAACCAAAGAAAAAGACTCGACATACGGTTATCAACCCTAGGACTAAAGGGAACACAATGATGTTTCCCCAACTGACATGACTCACAATCCAAAACAGACATATGACTCAATGAAGGAACCAAAGACTTCAAAACTTTCAACGAAGGATGACCAAATCGACAGTGCCACTAGAGAGGAGAAAGAGATGACTGGAGAGCTGTTGACGTACTTCCACCACCGTCAAGAGAATACAATCAACCAGCTTCATGCCCTCCACCAATCTTCATCCCCGTCTTGAGATCCTGAAAAACACACGAAGAAAGGTAAAAAGTAATAGAGCAATTAAGAGACTTGGTCAACTTACTAATTGACATAAGGTTAAACGGAAATTTAGGGACATACAAAACTGAGGATAAGGGTAAAGGGTCCATGTTAACATTACCAACACCACAAATGGAGGATGTGGAACCATTAGTAAGGGTAACAGATTGTGATGTTGGGCAATGAGAGAGGGAAGAAAACACACCTGGAGTTCCAGTCATGTGATTGGAGGCTTTAGAGTCAATAGTCCAAGGATTGGGTGTGGATGCCAGACAAGACATACTTGAGTGTGCGAGAGTGGCCATGTTCTGCTGAGATGTGGCTTGGGCAAACCTCTCATACTCATCACGGGGAACACTCATCATCTCCTTCTCAGGTACATCTGTGGATGTAGGGAGCATTTGATCAGCTGAATGACTCCTGTTTGAAGCTACTGTCATTAGTCATGACATGATTGGCTCAAGTTGAAGGTGGACCATGCAAATCATAGCAATAATTAATGGTACGTCCATCCATACCACAGTGTGTACATCTCCTTGGACCCGAACTACGTCCTCTGCCACGAGCTCCCCCTGAATCTTGACCTCCAGTACGACCACTGCCACGACCAGACTGAGCTCCCCGAGCTCCACCTCTAACACCACGACCCTTCAACACTGCAAAAGCTGATTTGTTGGAAACACTAGAGTTCTCGGTAGATCCAATAAAAATCCTCCTAAGTCGAGCAAACACCTCTTCTAAGGAAGGGAGAGCTGATCCTCCTAGTATCTGAGCCTGCACTGGTTCATATTCAGATTTCAGCCCCACCAAAAATCGAGTCACATCTAGTTGTTCTCTTTGTTGTTGTTGAATTTTGACATTAGAAGTGAGGGGATAAACATTCAACTCATTACGAATGTTTCTCATACTAGCATAGTATTCAAGACTCTAATTACCCTATTGCAGATTAAAGTATTCTTGATACAACTGATATACTCTAGTTGTGTTGTCTTGACCCGAATACAACTTCTTGGCATGGTCCCACACTTCCTTGGCACTATCAAGAAACATGAAATTCACACTAATCTTGGGTTCCATATTGTTCCATATCCATGTGATAATCTGTGCATCTTCTTGTTTCCAGTCATCATACTCATGAGAATCAGTGGAAGGCCTTTCTTCCCTTATGTGTTTCACCTTCTTCTTTGCCTTAAGGAAGACTTCTATAGATTTAGCCCATGGTACATAATTTTCTCCATTCTGTTTAATAGAGGTCATCTGAACATTTAGGTAGTTAGTAGGGACCATCACACTAGTCTTACTGTCACTGTTGTCTCCCATTGCTGAAGTCTGTTATTGCTGAATTCAGCACACTGCACACTAAACCACACTGCACATTGAACCACACTGTTTTCAGTACTTATTATTGCTGAAAACTGCACTCTTTACACCACAAACCCTACCCCACGACTAGCTGAAAGCTCACCACACTGTTTGAGGATCACTCCTCCTTCGAATTACACCAAAATTTGCTTAAACCCTAACACACTACAATCTGAATTCCCACCATACATTCAGAAACACACTTATCATTTGATTTACAACAAGAAATTGCATAGAAACCTCTTACCTAATCACTCGAAAATCAGACCACATAAGGCACCCACTGCACCACACGAATCGGCCCTCTTCTCTTCATCGATTAGGGGGGGGGGCTTCTTATAAACCACAACAATCAATCACGAACAGCACAATTGGAGGCATAGAAACCTCTAAGGGAAGAGGGTGATCACTCCTTTTCAGCCCTTTCCCTTATCTCCAACTGATGGTGAAGAAAACAAGAGAAAACCCTAGACTGCGTGCTCAAAGAACAAAATTCTGGGCAGTTTTGATTTGCTTAGTTTGGCTCTGATACCTGCCCTTAAATCCTGTTAGACTGATAACAATCGAAGTAAAAGAAAGAGAGAGAAGAAGAGAAGTGAAGAGAGGGAGAGAAAGTTTTGGCTCCAACAAGAGAGAAAAGTCTTCTGTCCCATTCGACCAGATTTGTTTTTATATTACTGTTAATCTAGAAATGACACATGTGCCCCCACTTGAGGGACATAAGATCTAACATAACCTTACACATCAGCAACTTAAACATAAGCATAGAGACAAAAATACCCCTACATAGTCAACATTAACAGAAGTCTTTGGCAGTGCCGCAGTGTTACTTGATGTAGACGCAAAAGAAGTGGAGGGAGTTGTGCCAGAACCCATTTGATGAAGTGTTCTACCGTACTGCTCAAGCTGATCACGGAATGAGTTGATGATATCTTCCTTTGGATTAGAAATAGAAGGGCGGTCTTATTTCAAAGTGGGAACTGGAAACTGAAATTTGATGCTCTTGTGAAACCATTTTTGTTGAATTGTACTTCTCCTAACCTTGCTGAATAGGTTTCTTATTCTGTTCGTGAACTGATTTCTTACTTAATTCTTGTGCCCACTTAGGTTTTTCATGGAGATCCCAACAAGTGTTCCTAGTGTGCTTGGATCGATAACAATGAGTACACCACAACTTATCTTTGTCGTCCATCCTTTTTTGAGAATCAATCTTCTTAAAGGAACTTCTATTACTTGTATTTGCACCTCCCCTGACAGCTTGAGCAACCGGCTCCCCCTCTGAACAATTCGTAACATTCCTCCTACTTTATTCTGATTGGTACTAGAGCATATACTTCTTGCACTGATATGGGGCTCATTACTTCCCAATATCTGAACCCTATAGATTCATACATCGGGTTCAACCCCAAAAGGAAGGCAAAAACCCGTTGCTGAGAGACTAGAGACTTATAGGCCTTAGCATCCTCATCACATTTCCAGCCCACATTTTTGATAGTGGTCTAATTCCTTCCAGATGGAGGTCAAATCTTAGTAATATGTGGAGAGACTCCTCTCCCGTTGCTTGCAAGTTGAAAAAGCAGCTTGCAGCTGATAAGTCTTCACATGTTCTGTATGAGTATATTTAGCTTGCTCCCAAATCTCAAAAGCAGTTTCATTTGATAGCCATGGCATTAGCATGCTGTTTTCTTGGTTCCACCTATAATGTTCTGCACTTCCTGACCTTGGTTCTCTTGTCTTACCATTGATATAACCTGTTTTCCCCTTCACAGTTATGTAGAGTTTAATCCCCTTCGACCATTGATATAACCTTTGGGGTTGCAGCCATACACAAATTCCTGTCTAATGCCCCACTTAATCCATTGTAGCCAGAAGACCCACAGGAGACCAATGAATCTTTAGAAGACATTAATAGAAAGGACTGGTAACACTACTTCGGTCACAAAACACAGCAGGAAGTAAGTAAAAACTGTTCACCATTTTCACAAGAATATTCGGGTTCAGATAAACCATAACTGTAGGCCAATTCCTCTTCGATCAAACCAAAGAATGCACATTACTACACTGCTGAAATGAGTTCTAGAGTAGGGAAGGTTATACTTCTGGTCTGGACAGCCCCCACAAGGACCACTATACTCTATTTCAGGCCACACAGGCACTCCAAACACCACAAACAAATCATAAAACTGCTGTTACAGCAGACACAGGTCGTCCAGACCAGCACAACCCAGTTACAGGGTACAAAACAAGATCACACGATCTGCATAGGACTGAAAAAACCTTTCACAGCATGAGTTTATCCTCTTTTTCAGGGGGGGTTCTTGTCACATGGCCAAGGAAAAGAAAAAAAAGACACTTACAGGTCAGTCGATGTGTTTTTTCACTGGCTTCAATCAGAAGAAGAAAACTGAAGAGAAAAAGATGGTTGAACTGCCTTTAATCTCAGAATCAATGCTCTGATACCATGTTTTCTTGGTAAAATAGTTAAAGAACAGTTGGAAGAAGAGAGAAGAGAAAGGTTTGGAGTCAAAAAGATAGGCTGGTGGCGCCGGCACTTCTATGCATGTTAGGGCGACCCAACTTCAGAAATAAAAATAGGTACTGGGACAAAAATGCCCCTGCAGCATAGTACAACTACTGTTAACACTAATCAATATCTGATTGCAATCCGAATCTAATGTAAATCTGGTGGATAAGATCTGATTCAAATCTGAATTTAAATGAACTGTGTTTGGAACTACCTATATCCTATTTGATATAATCCATTTGCAGCTCTAAATTATGCATCTTTGTATCAGTAGTAAGAAACTGCTCTTTAAGATATTTATCTAGTTTGATCTTTTAAGTATAGCCATTGTTTTAGTTTCTTATTGTACTGACTACTTGGTCGCTTTTCCCCATATTGATAAATGCAATGTATTATTCTTCAATGTTTCAGCTTATGCAGAGATGCTGTCTTCATAGTGGATTGGTCTCTGTTGTGCTCTGTGGACTGCCAACTTCCTTACCTGTTTCTACTGTTGTCAGTGGTGGAGGGGATGGTACAATTGTTTCAGAGATATTCTCTATACTATCTCTATGTGCTTCATCAAACAAAGAGCCACCAGTAGGAGAAGCAAGTAACCAGAAAAGCAAAGTTTCTAGTCCACACACTGTGATTTTTCATTCATGCCTGACCCTTGCCACGGTTGCACAGTCTCTGAGATCAGCTGGAAGAATATCTCCATCTTTTATGCTTACAACTAATCCAAAAAAACAGCTTGCTCGGATTTCGATCCTAGCCCATTGTTCTGATGAGAAGATGCCAACATCCTTTCAACCACATTGTGCATCATCCATGTTGGCTCTTTCATGCATTCTGTCCCTTGAAAATGGAGGTTCCTTGGAGTCCTCAATACCTGAATCTGCAGTTCCTTTGATTCCTCGGACTTCTACACTATGTGACCACCTCAAGGTCCCAGCATCTGACAAAACTGAGGTAGTCAACCAGAATGGTGCCCTCTCATACTGGCATGGCCTTCGGGATGGGTGTATTGGCTTACTGGAAGCCAGACTAAAGTGGGGGGGACCATTAGCTGTTCAACAGGTGTGTGCAAGTGGTACCCCACAGTTTCTTATTGATTTGTTAGCTGACAGCTTTCGAAATGCTTCTCATCAAGAAATGAATGGCACAAAAAATAGAGTTGGACTTTCACCTGTAGGTGTTGTATGGACAGTTTCTTCAATATTCCATTGTCTATCTGGTGGAGCTTTACCTTTTTGTCAGATCTTGGTTAGGAGTGAACATGTTAAATTGATTTCTGATTTGATATCTGATGTACATCTCAAGATCTTAAAATGCTGGGGTGGACCGGGTGGTGGCAGGGATGGGGTGAGAGATCTAATCAATGTAGTGATTGATCTCTTAGCATTTCCTTTTGTGGCAGTGCAGAATGTTCCAGGCTTGCCCTCAGCTACTGCATCTGTTAACAGTGGCTTCCTTCTCAATATGGGTTCACCTGGTGGAAAAGTATGTGTTGAAGACAAGGACACAGTGAAAGCAATTGAGGTGAACTTGCCCAAGTATATTCAAATCATACTGGAGGTTAGATCTTTGATCTTGGTTTCAGGCACTTTGTTTTTCTTTTCATTATTTTGATTTCTGAGTCTGCTGAAATTTGTAGGTTGGAGTTCCTGCTTTTATTCTTAGGTGTCTGGAACATGTGGAGTTGAAGGATTCAGGAAGAATTGTAGCTTTTCTTGCCAAAATGGCTGGTTATCGACCACTTGCAGTTCAGATTGTGAGCAAAGGTATGTTGGATCCAAGCCGAGTGAGAATGCTTCTTGATGGTTCAAGTCCGAGGGAGGTTGTGCTGGACATTCTGATGATAGTTTCTGACCTAGCTCGGATGGATAAGGTCAGGAGATAATCTGGTCTCTAGGTTTTGACTATATTACTGGGAACTTCTATTTTCTAACTATAAAATGTCTTTGTAGGTTTTCTATGATCACATTAATAGAGCAGATTTGTTTGGTTTCTTGAAGACCTTCCTTAGCCATGAAGACTCTAATATACGTGCAAAGGCTTGCAGTGCTGTTGGCAACATGTGTAGACATAGTCCTTATTTTTATGGTTCATTGGTAAGACTGGAGTTGTCCATTATCATTCTGTACTCTTCATGATATGAATGGTACATCTACTGGTTCTGCTATAAATTTGGGTAAACACTTAACTCATTATTAAATAATTTTTCCAGGCAAGGCATAGCATCATCAGTCTTCTCATTGATCGATGTGCTGATCCGGACAAGCGTACACGAAAGTTTGCTTGCTTTGCTGTAAGAGTTTTCCTTATTTATAAAGTGCCTTGTTAGAAGTACAAAAAAAATCACTTATCAGAATATAAATATTTGCTCTGTGTCACTCTCATAAATATCCTGGTTTTGCTGCCATTAATATTGAGCTTGGAGACTCATTATATTGGACAAGTTCACATGAAGTTTTTTTCATTGTAAAAGGAGATTCTGATCTGAAATTGTTCTGTTCAGATTGGCAATGCTGCTTACCACAATGATTTGTTGTATGAGGAGCTCAAACGGTGCATTCCACAACTTACTAGTGTGCTGCTTTCAGCTGAGGAAGACAAGACTAAAGCTAATGCTGCTGGTGCACTCAGTAATCTTGTCCGCAATTCTAACAAGCTTTGTGAAGATATTGTCTCTAAAGGGGCCGTGCAGGTTTGTTTAAGCTCTTTAGTTTCTTCTTATTGTGTATGCATTGCACTCCAGCACTTGTACAGTGACAACCAGATGGGGTTGGGTTATAGTTGAAAATATCTGCATCGTCCAGAAACTTCTTTGGGTAGCTTTTTGTCCTCATTATCTTATGCATCACTTGAGCAAGCAAGTATTTAACCCTTCCAAAAGAACAAGTTGATTATTATAACAATCCAATCTTTGAAATCATGGATGATCAAGTGACACTGTGACAGACAGTCCACAAAGGTTGGTGGATCAAGTAGTGATCAATGTTGTCCCAGGTATTTGCTGGATTGCATCTTGTGTGTGTAATCAAGAATGAGCAGGCACTCAAACAAGGGGGATTGTGCCTTGCATTTTCCCTTGACATTTTAATTGCATGTGCCTATTTTTGATCCCTAAATGATTTCTCTTTGCAGGCTTTGCTGAAGCTAGTCGCTGACTGTTCAGTTGTGGCTCTGAGTCCCAGTAGAAGGGATGCAGTAAATGAATCACCTCTTAAGATTGCTCTCTTCTCCTTGGCAAAAATGTGTGCACACGCCCCTTGCAGACAGTCCATCCGTTCCTCAGAGCTGTTCCCTATTATTGGGCAACTTAGACAATCCCCAGAATCAACAATTGCCAATTACGCCTCTGTTATAATCAATAAGGTTGCTGAAGCGTGAAGCCATCAATATCTCATGTTGGTTTTATGGTGGTCCGAAATTTGATTAGATGGGAAATGGCAACTTGGTTGCAATATTGTGATATTCGTTAAAGTGCAGGCATGACAGTCACTTGGGTTTTAGGCTTGCTGTTCACTCCTAGCATGATCAAAAGATGAGCAATACTAGCTGATTCAGGTATATTACAGAGCATGCAGAATCACAGTTTTTTTGGGGCGGGGGCTGGGGGTGTTGCTTATGGCCGTTGAAACATACAAGGATGCTGCAGAGGCATTTCTTGATGTTCTATGATTGAATAGGAATTGTTGTATTTGTAGTGTTATTTCCATTCCATCAGCTGCTCGTTTATTATCGAATGTATAGTAAAATTTGTATGTATAAATGTATCAACTAATCAGTGTACAAACTGATGTACGACTGTCTAAGCTTCTACTTCCTTTAATGAGCTCGAGGTGCTTAATTTACTCTTGCATCTAATTTAAGCAGTCCATGTTCTCTGAAGTGTGCAGGATACATTATGAAATCCCTTACAAGGATTTTCCCACAACTTTTCCCAGTTTCAATAATTTCTTAGAAACCAAAGGCGGCATTAGTGCAACATGTCTTGAATTATTCAGGTCCCACAGTTTCCCACATCTTTCCAAACCAACGACCAATGTGGTTTTGACTCGTCATTTGATTTTTATTCTATTTGGTTGGCCTCATTTATACTTTTAGTTTCTGCAGTATTTCCACCATTTTGCATGTTAACTGTCTTCGCTCAAATGTTATGGACTTAAGGGGTCCACGAAATTTCCTATTTCAATTGAAGGCTTAACGTCTCCATATGACATGCATTGCAATTTTTTAGACAATCAGTATTGAGGCACCCGGATGCGATAAATACTGGGTAATCTATCTTCAGTTATCTATCTCTGAATTATAATAGTGAACAAGTAAAAGAAAAAAATTAGTATCACTTAACTGAAATGCATGTACATGTTACCATGTTAGATATTTTATAACTTGCTTCAATGGAGGAGGTACCATTGAACCTGCTGGTAAAGTCTGTAACTGGTTGTAGCGGAGGCCTGGGATCAGTTTTGTGCCTTCACGCAGGTTGGGGGGCTGGGGTTAGGGTTTCTGGGAGGACAACTCCCCGACTCCCCGTTGTATTGCCCATTACACAAGAAGGGAAAAAAAGCCTTGCTTCAATTCATATTTGAGTATTTTTTTTTTGTACAGCTAATTTTCCTTGAGCAAGCCTGTTAACTAATTAAGATCCTAATGATTGGTGTACGGGTGCCTTATTGAAATCCCCACTTGCTCACCGCCTACTCTGTCCTCGGGACTCTTATTAACCACTTGTCTGGTTAGCAGGCCGCCTAGTTTGGTTTGGTAAGCTGTTTAAAGTATGGAAGATGTGTTTGGGAAAGGTGGTTGATGGCCCATTATTTTAAACAATAAAAGCAGTTGGTTTATTCTACACAGGCATCATCATCATCTAAAGTCTTGTCCCAAGTATATGGGCGCTTTGCCAATAACCGTTGACTTTATCTATGGCAAGGTAACTGTTGCCGCGCGGCCAAGAAGCTAAAATCACTCTTCAGGTTTCAAGCGTTAGCTGAAGACCTCGGGGCCTCGGAGGAGGTTGACTGAAGCCGAGGACAGCTAGCCGAGATACCGCAAGACAGGGAGTAAAAGAGATCTTGGGGTGGATATCTGAGGCAGAGGCTCCGACGCTCAAGTTAGTGCGAGGTGTGATGCAGGGGGGAGTGCGAGAATGCTCCTGGAGAAACTCCTCAGATGCACCAAATCTCCTTGAATTAATGCTAGATAGACAATGTAGGTGCAAGAAGTAAATGAGTGAGTAATGTTGGAGTTATTCCATTCTAGCCCCTTTTAAGTGCAGTTACTTCTTATTTATACTTGAGCGTGCTGGTGGTAGGTGAAGATGAACGTCTTAGATGAGAGCCGTACGAGGTCAGGCTGTAGGCCCTGGCAGTACGCCAGATAGTTATGTGATTGGCTCCGTATGAAGGCAGCAGGACTCCCTCCTACTGTGGCTGAGTTAGCCAGCATTAGTGGGCTAGGCCTCTTAGCCCTATGTGGGCTGGGCCAAGCTAACCCACATCACTTGCCCCCACTCCTGATACCAAGGTGAGGCCTTGGCTTTTGCCCGTAATGAGGGTGGTCATCGATGTGAGGCTTCGGCTTCGGTCACTGGGAGTAGTGGTTGTTATGCCTTCAGAATCGTCAGCTAAGGGATGCCTTGTAGTGACGCCGTCTTCGTTGTTCGCACCGTCACTCTTCGTTTCAGAAGTGCGAGCGATGTGGATGCCTCAGCCTGGCGGGGGTGTCCCGTATCTCGCACGGACAGGTCATGTTAACGGGGCTACCGTACAGGGGACGACCGTCCCAGGAGTCCTGTGTTTTCTGGGTTAAACGGTCCGTCCGGTGGTCCGTGACGAGCAGGCCTTTCGGTTCACTCGACGGGTTGCCGCGGGTGGTCTTTGCGGTTCAACTGACGTCGTTTCGCCTTTTGAGGGCATGCATTAGAAGGTGTGGTGAGACTGGTTCGCAGGAGCTAGGGGCTCCCGCATCCGTTGGATTTGCGTCGATCTGAACTGTTGCTTTGGGTGTTGTTTCGTCTTCCATGGGCCTGCGTTAGGGGGCTCCCGCATCTGTTGGATCTGCGTCGATCTGAACCGTTGCTTTGGGCGTTGTTTCGTCTTCCAAGGGACTGCGCTAGGGGGCTCCCGCGTCCATTGGATCTGCGATCTGAACCGTTGTTTTGGGCATCGTTTCGTCTTCCGAGGGCCTGCGCTAGGTGGCACATCGCAGTTGGTTGGTGGGAGCAGATTGGTTTCGGCCGTTGGCTTTAGAGAAATCCAGGCCGTTCATTTTCCTTTAAATAGGGGCCCTGGTAGTGCTTTTCTTCTCCATTTGAACTTAGACGCCCTTGCTCTCGAGTGAACACAACTCCCTAACTCCCAAGTCTCCAGAACTTTTTGCTTCTTTCCTTCTATGGGACATTCCACCCGCTTTTAGGTAATCTTAACATGTCGTTCTCAGACTCTGGTCCTGAGTGCCATGAACTCCCGAATATCTCGGGAGGGAGCTCTCCAGCAACCCCCTCTCCCTTGTCTTTTCTAGGTTCTTTAGTTGTAGTCCCCTATCGACGAGAGGTGGCCGTTTTGAGGGAGAGGTTAACCTCGGGGGATGCCGAGGGCAGTCACCGGGGAAATGACTCTCCCCATGAAAGCGCCGCCTCAGTGTTGCCGAGGGAGCCTGGGGGGTCTCCTCTCTCCGAGGGTGATGCCGCGGAACTCATCGCCGGACCAGTAGGGGGGAGTGTTGCCCGAAAGGTTGCTGATCCCGGTGTCCCATGTTCGGAGTTTGATAGCTCCTTGAACGTGTGCTAGGTCAAATCCCTGGCGAAGAGGTTCCATATACCTCGGTCTTACAGCCTGAGGGTCCCTAATGTGGGCGATAGGCCGTGGACCCCCGAGGAGGGGCAAATTTGTATCTACCAGCATTTTTTAGAGTCTAGCCTTAGGTTTACCCTCCCAACCTTAATCTCTGAACTACTGGAGTGGTACGACATCACTATCAGCCAGCTCGTACTTAACGCCCTTAGGACCATCATGGCGATGATGGTGTGGGCTCGACTCAGGGGCGTGGAGTTGACGTTGAGACTATTCTACGCCATGTTCGTGCTGAGGAAGCACGCTTCCGAGGCTGACATGTACTACTTCCACCCGAGGAGAGGGAAGCCAGTGCACAACCCCTCTTCCGTTCACGGGTGGAACGACAAGATCTTCTACATCTCCTACCCCGAGGGCTGGCGCTTCAGGTCCGACTGGGGGGAGGCCCACGTCATCGTTGAGAGATGTCCCCCACCGCTCCAAGACGAAGAGGCTGCAGCAATGGCTCCTCTATTTGTGATGGGGACATTCCAGGCGAAGCCGTTGGTGGAGGAGGAGGTCCCCCTAGTCTTCGCTGGGATTAGCCCAGCCTCCCTCGGTAGGAGAGGTTCTGTAGTTAGTGCATCCTCCACGTCCTTTTCTTTTTCTTTTTGTTGATGTGCTAACTACTTTCCTTTGCTGTTTCGTAGAAGTGCCAATGGACGTTAGGGAATGCTTATTGGCGAAGGCCGGTGGACAGATGCCGAAGAGGCCCGACTACGAAGCTGCTCCCTGCCCCGGGGAAGGGGGGAGATTCGCAAGTACTTGCGAAGGGGAAGCAGACAGTGGTGGCACCGAAGAGGAAGATGGAGGTGCCGAGGAAGCCCACCACCGGGGGAGGAGCGCTGAAGAAGCCCACCACCCGGGAAGAGGCATCAAGGAGGCCCATGGAGGGGCCCAAGGTGGGAAAGAAGAGGCCCGCCACTGACACGCCAAGGGAGGAGCCCCTACGAAAGCTTGCCAACACAGATAGGCAGGTCGAGGAGGTGGTGCAGAGGTCCGCGCCTGGGGAGCACCCATCCGGGTCTTCCTCAGCCCCTCCATCAGTACAAGGCACCTCCGAGAGGACCGCAGGGGCTGGTCAGACTTTCCACCCCCAATGGCAGCTCCAAGAGGGGGACTCCATCCGTGACGAGGGGGTCAGCTAGGAGCTGGTCAACAGATCCATCCTGCCGAGGGATCGCTACAGCCTTCTGCAAAGTGACCCCAAGTCTATTTACGATGAGGGCCTATACCACTTGGTCGAGGTAAGACGTTCTTCAATATCTCATCATATATATGTTTTATTTTTTATTTTTCGTTGATCGGTTTTGTGGCAGGCTTGTCTTCACTTCATCGATTTGGGGGACCAGACAAGGTTGGCCATCGATCGCACCGACAAGGCCGAGAAGGAGAAGAGGGCCGCGGAGGAGAGATCTAAAAGGTAATCGCCGCCGCCGAGGAGAAGCACCAGAAATTCCGCACGGCGCTACTAGACGAATAATCGCTTCGGGATCGCTTCGAAGCTCAGTTGAAGGAGACGCGTCAAGGGCTCTCCAAAGAGCAAGAGGAGCGGGTGTGGCTAGAGAGAATTGTCACTGAAGTGGAGAGATGAGTTGCCGAGGTCGAAAAGAGGGCTGCCGGGGCCGAAAAGAGAGCTGCCGAGGTGGAGGCGAAGGCTGCCGAAGCCCTAGCTTTGGCAGAGGAGTCAAAAAAGGCAGCGGCCAAGGCAGTAGAGGCGTACAAGAAGTCTTCCGACTACCTGGATGCGTTGGCGGAGTATGCATCATCATCTTACCTCGATGGTTTTGAAGATACCAAGAAGGCACTCCTACTGGTGTTGCCGAATTTTGATGTCGAGGGACTACAAGTGATCCCCGATGCTCCTACTGAGGCTCCCCCAACCGAAGATGCCGTTCCCCCTCCTGCCAATGACGAGGTGCAGGCGTAGACTTCCCCCCTTCTTTTTTTTTGTTCTATTGTTGTAATACTTGCCATACAAGATCAAATTGAATAGTGAATGAAGCCATTTTTTGTGTATACTGTGTTTTGTGTATATTGTCTCTTTCCTTTTTT